GAGAGAGAGAGAGGGAGAGGGAGAGGGAGAGGGAGAGAAGATGGCACAGACAGGAGAAAGCACATTTCATGAGATGGGGAATACATTGGATGGCAATTGATGGATCACTAAAAATTAAGAAATGCCTCACCAAAAGAATAGATGACAAGAATAGGACACACTCATGCCTAAATGTGCATATATGTTCATTCACATTTATAGAGGCAAATTTAGAAATAGTAATTATACTTTGAATAGAAATAGGTTAAATCTCACCATAGGGGCCCTACGTGACAAGGTGGCATGGGTGCCCACCCATTCAATCTGCTGTCCAGCTGCTAAGGGCAGATGGACAGCAGTTCCTAGGGTTCATTTTCATTAAACTGAAATGGAACAAGGAAGCCCTCAAATTTGGACACCTTCAAACAGGAGGCAATCCTTTGGAAGCCCTTCAAATAGAGAACTGTTCCCTGTCAAAGTCACCCTTAACTGAGCATGTGAAATGTGCCTTTCCTTCAAGTAGCTACAAAGAACCAATGGTAAGGGAGGCAGGGGAAAGAGCAGTTGTTACCCAGCTCCACCTGTGCCACTTATGTAACTGAGAGTCCATATGTATGATGAGGTATGCCTCAATCCTTTTTCTGGAGGAGGTATTCAGGTGTGTGCCACCTTTTCCCCCCCTTGTTTTTAAGTTTCTAGGCTCCAGGATGGGATGCTAAATCTAATCCAAATACATGTACACCCATATAAAAAGTTTGCACACTTACCTTTAAAAAGAACTGCCTCATCTTTATCATTATTTTCAGAAACTGCATCCACACCAGATGGCAAAAAGGACCAGAATTCAGAAATTAAACTCAAGTCAATATTTGTGTATCTGGGGTGTTTCCTCCAGAAATGCCTGTAACAAACATAGATTGCTTTCATTTCATGTGTCCACAAAAATGTTTCCACTTGCTGTATCTGGGTTAGCAGACTTGACTGTGGAAATTTTTCCATTTGATGAAGAGTGGAGTAATTAGCAGGGGACAAAGACTAAGCAGTGTGGGGGGAATGAGAGAAGCGTTGGGAAGAAGCGAAGAACAGAAGAGCCATCCTGGATCTGACCAAGGGCTGGTCCAGTCCAACATTCTGCACCCACAATAGCCAGCCAAATGCCCACTGGAAGCCAAATGCAGAGCAAGAGAGCTGCAATACCTCCTAATACTCATAGGTTTACTACCACTCATATTAGAGATCATATTTTGCATCACAGCACTTCACATTGCTGTGACTGAGTGGGACTGGGAGAGTAGGATGGGTTTGGTAGTGGGAAATTCCAGACATCTAGGATTTCATTCCTGATGAAGATTGCATCTAGAAGAAATCACGCTGAAAGCAATGGGACAAATGTTTGGTTTTACAGTTATGTCCCACCTTTTTTCCTCGTGCAAGGAACTCAAAGTGGAATACAGGGTTGTCTTCTTCCTGCATTTTGTCCTCACAAGAACCTTGTCAGATCAGGCTGTAGATCTGCGACCAGCCTCAAGCAACTCAACAGCCCCACAGCCATTGCCTGCAATCTTCTGGACTTCAGGGGCATGAACAAGGCATGGGGGTCGTGCTCCCCATGGCCGCCAAAGCTTGCACCCTGCATCATCTAGCTGCAGAGCAGGGGAAGGAGGAAAGGGGACCTGGTACTGATGGGGATTAGTTCAAGTCCAAGGCTGCAGCCTCAGCGCACCCACTCCCTGCCCACGGAGGCCCAGTTCAACCTGCAGGGACATTCAAGATGGTCCTTTCTGCACCAGCTGCAAGGGGCTGGAGCAGGGGCTTGGCCTAGGATCTCTCAGCTGGGACTTCGGGGCATACCAGGGGCTGCTGGAAGGCCACAGGATTGTGCCCTCAGAGTCTAACTCTGAACCAGTATTCTCAGTGTGTCTCTCTCAGTTCCAAGGTGCCTTTCTCTACACTGAGCTACTCCTAGTTGTTCAGGCTTAGTTCTCACTAGTCCTAAATCTGTTCAGGTTGAGCCACTTCTGGCAGTAGGTAGAGGACCACATGACCGAACACTGTTAATACAAGAAAAAAAATCCTGGATCAGGTCTAATTTGCATCCCGACATGCTGGCTTTCTATGCCCAAAGGTGTTGAATATTTATTTGAACATAGAGCTTTCAGTACACAGAGCAGTCTAAAGTGGTATAATCCAAACATAATTTTACCAGCCCAGGTGGGGTCTTATTTGTGGGTCCTCAAGTAAGCTTCAGGGTTGAAGTTTACACAGTGCAGATCTAAGAATGGTGACTATCAGCACCTGGACAGCAGATAAAATGAGTGGGCATCCTTGACCTTTGCCACAGTTCCCCTGCAGTGAGAGTAGCTCTGTTTCAATTCAAGTTATTATTATTATAATTTCTAAATTTGCATCGATACATAAGAGTCAGCATATGCACATTTTAGGCATGTTTGTCTCCTGTTCCTTTTCGGTGATGCATTTCCAAGGCTCCAAGGCTGACCACTGAATCACAGTAGCTTTCAGTGCTTTGTTGTTGTTAGTTGCGAAGTCGTGCCCGACCCATAGCGACCCCATGGACAACATTCTTCCAGGCCTTCCTGTCCTCCACCATCTCCCAGAGTCCACCTAAGCTCACACCGACTGCTTCAGTGACTCCATCCAGCCACCTCATCCTCTGCCGTCCCCTTCTTCTTTTGCCACCAATTGTTCCCAGCATTAGACTCTTCTCCAGGGAGTCCTTCCTTCTCATTCGGTGGCCAAAGTATTTGAGTTTCACCTTCAGTATCTGGCCTTCTAAAGAGCAGTCAGGGTTGATCTCCTCTAGGACTGACCGGTTTGATCCCCTTGCGGTCCAAGGGACTCGCAGGAGTCTCCTCCAGCACCACAATTCAAAGGCCTCAGTCCTTTGGTGCTCAGTCTTCCTTATGGTCCAGCTTTCACATGGATCCTCATTCAGCTATCTGGGGGATGTGGCTGGGTCAGTGCTGAGATACTTGCATGATGGCACTTACCTATTTTTAAAGAACAGTATTTCTCCCCGAAAAGGGGTGACAGCATCAAATGTCAAACGAGGATCACAAACGGAAGGTAAGGCAGGTTGGGCTGGCCTGCCAGGTGTGCGTGGCTTGTCATCTTCCACTGGGTCCTGAGCTGGTTTAGATGATGCGCCTTAAAAATTAAGAAGCACGGCATTAGCTAAAATGCCCCTCTTCCTCTGGATAACAGTATAAGCATGCACACACAGCTGCACATTTTCTGAATTATATTTTGGCATGACTGTCTAAGGAGTTTTAGGACAACAGAAAGGAGGAGAAGCTCATTCAGTTCACAATTGAATGCAAAGTTAACATAATGCTTCATTTTCAAATGTATATGTGAACAGAAACACAGTTATTCTTTAACATTAACACTCCTCCAAATATTGCAATGGGAATCTCCAGCCAAAAGATGTGTACAAAGTGGATCTATTGGGGGAAGCGCATGCATTGGGACAAATTGTGTTAAAATACATTTTAACAGGCAAAAATTCATATAAAATGTCATTATTTTAAGAAATGTTCACTGAACATGTATATGGATTTTTATGTAACCTTTTTTGTAAAAGAAAACAACTCAAACAAATGCACAAACAGCTGTAGATTGAACTTAAGACAGATAAAATGAGAAACTGAGAGAAAACAAAATTAACAGTGTGGTGAGCCAGTGTGGTGTTGTGGTTAAGAGCATGGGACTGGGACTCAGACGATCTGGGTTCTAGTCCCCGCTCAGCCATGGAGCCAACTGGGTGACTTTGGGCAGACACAGACTCTCAGCCCAACCTACCTCACAGGGTTGTTGTTGTGGGGATAAGGTGGAGGAGGAGAATGATGTGAGCTGCCTTGAGCCCTTTGTAGGAAAAAGGCAGGATATAAATCGAACAATAAATAAATAAATAAATTGCACCCTAAATAAATTCATTATTGATATAAATAAACAGATTTGTCCATCCTGAGCTAAGATTAAAACAAATGCCATCTTGGGAGTAGGACTGGGACAGCCCATCTGTCTAGAATGTGCAACTTCTTCTCATGCCCAGCCTCCTCCCGGAAAGCAAGCTGAGCCCCTAGGAAACCTGCAAATGTTTCCAGACTCCTGGTTGTGCAACAAGCAACCTTCCCCATTAAGAGCAGCTGCAGGATACGAAAGAGGGGAGCTGTGAGTGGGTGGGGCAGCTGTCATTTCTAGGAACCAATCTTCTCCCCCACTTGCTCCTGCCGGGGCAGGCGCAGAAGATTGGCACTCTGGGACACGGCAAAGTATACTCGAGTCCACAAAGCCAAAGCCAGGGAATCCAGTTCTGCGCAACACGGATTCCTCACACATCCCTGCTTAGGAATACGCAGAAGTAGACTGCTGTTTATTATAAAAGGTAACAGGAAGCAAGGATTATAGCTAATACATCAAAAGTCCAGCAAAAATCCAGCAATTACAGGAAAGTCTTCCAGTAAAGATGAAATGTATGCTAGATGTTGGTGGCTGGGCAGGGGGCTGGGGTGGGGGGCTTGTGGGGGGGGAGAGGTCCAGATATTTCCCAGTAGAAGAATATAGAGAAAAGAGGCTTTATGTGAAAACCCTTCCATGAAATATTTCAGATTATGAATATCGTTTAAATTACCATAGAGGGACTGAATGCCATCAATATCATCTCTAGAGAGGACATTTTGTCTGTGTTCAGGATAGTTATACACTGGGAACATCAGTGCATTAGGTTCTTTGGAATGCGAAAGTCCAAGAGAATGGCCAAATTCATGAGCAGCAACAAAAAACAAGTTGGAACCTAAAAGGAAGACAAAAAGGAAAATGCATCATGCTATAGCTTTGCGTGTCCAGATCAGGCATGCAGTCAGCACTGCTTCGTCGTGTCAAATGTTGCTTCCACACTTTTCCGACAAACGTAGAAACATGGGGCCATATCCAACGGCGCCATTCCATCAGATCAAATGATGAAAAGATTTTACCTAGCAGAAGTTAGGTTCTGAATTATACATGAGAGGAGGATCCAACCACAGGTATGTTTGTACAAGTACAGGTATGTGACTAATTGCATAATAGAAAGATCTGCCAGAACTCTGCTATTACTATCTGAATGAGCAGAATGATGCTGTTGAATACCGCCCATGGATTTCTTTTAAACACAAATAGATATGATCTTTTTATCCATTTTAAGACTCTCAGTGTTGTTCAGGAGATTATGACAGCTCTGCAGATCTCACAGGATCATACATTTGGAAGGGACCTAGCAGGCCATCAGGTCCAACTGCCTGCTCAATGCAGGATTCAAGTCACCCACCCATCTCAGGCACATACAGATTAGGTACCAAGTAGGAAATGTGGTACCATCCTGACCTTTTGGACTACAACTCACAGAAGCCCTTCCAGAATGGCCAGAATGACTGAGAGCAGAAAAACAACAGAGAGCCAGTATGTCGTAGTAGCTAGTATGGTACTGGTAAGATCTGAGTTCAGGTGTCCTTTTGGCCACAAAGCTTGCTATGTGACCTTGCGGCTAGACTTTCAGCTTTCTGTAAGGATAAATGGAGAAACAGAAGATGCCTTGGACTTCTTGCAAGAAGGGGAAAAGTGTAATAATAAAATGATGAGTACTTATTTTATACTTCTGTGCATGTTTGCTCCTGAAGACAAGGATACTTACCCACAGAGCAGCAATGCAGACACACAAAGCTGCTAGTCTGCTCTCTACTTAATCACAATTACCTTCCAACTCATTGGTCCAGTCTTCATCTTCATCAAAATGGGCATCTCCTCCAATGCCGGCGCTCGGGGCATAGGCATGGGCAACAGTGCCTCCCGGCCCATCAAAAGAATTGAAATCTCCATGCTCTAAACAACCAGGAAGATTATGATTAGTGTTACATGTTTATTTTTGTTCTGCCTAGTCCCAGTACTGGGACTCAAGGTAGCTTGCAATATTAAAAGCAGGAACACTTAAACCATAAATGGAAATATTCAGAAGTTAAAAACATAATTACAGCAATAGAATAATAAATTTTTATAAAATGCCAAAATTAAATGGAGAGAGAGGGGAGAGGAGGAACCGCCTAGAGCTAGTCTAATTCTCATAGGTCCAGACCACTGTCCTGCTGGAACAGAAAGGTTTTGCCTGCCTCTGAAAACTTAACAGGGAGTGCACCAGGAGCTTCCTCGGGAAAGTAGTACCAGAGCCTTGGGCAGCCGCTGAGAAAGCTCTCACCTGCATTCCCACCAGGCGTGCTTGTGAAGGTGGTGTGACTAAGAGAAGAGTCTGCCCAGGATCTTGTGGTATGAGCAGGCTCATAAGGGAAACTGAATGCTTGGTTGCCCATTCCTACAAATCCCCTTTAGCCATTGTGCTGAATTTGTACTGGATATTTAAACAGTATTTGTTGTTAAAGTTGTCCATATTCTGAAGGTGTAAGAGTGTGGTGCCATTGGTATGCTGATCACACCCAACTTGATCATCTTAGTCAAATATAGCAATCTGTGGACTGTAAACCAATAAGGAAGAGAATCATGCCCAAGCTCTTCCTGTTTGCACTGCTACCTTGAAAGTCATGAAAGATGACTTTCTGAATGGAAGGACCTTTTTGGGAACCAGTGGCTCAAATGCTAGGCTGGGACTCAGGAGATCTGGGTTCAAGTCCACACTTAGCCATGAAACTCACTGGTGACTTTGGGCCAGTCCCGTACTCTCAACCTAACCTCACTCGTAGAACTGTTCCGAGGAGAAAATGGAGCGGAGGAGGATCTGGTAAGCCACCTTGGATTACTTGCATGGAAGGCAGGGTGTAAATATAATGCAGTGACATTTGTGAGAGCTCTCCACACAATTTGGAATTACACTGTATATGAATTGGCTTTTCTTATCTTTTTCCTTTTTACCTCCAGAAGCGAAAGAGATCATTATATCTGCATTGCCTCCTGAAACCCTGCGGAATATCAGTGGTGACACTTGGCTCCAAACTTTAAAGGCTTTCTCAATGTCTTTGTCCACATCAGATTTGTTCATGTCTGGTGTATAGTTCAGAATTCTTTGAAAAGAACAGAGGCAGATTGTTAACAATACTGTTAACGCTTGTTAAGAGCACTGATTAATGCAGCAAATAATAGCAGAAGTTACTATTGAACCATCTTGCTTTATCCTTATAACTGGGACAATTTTACACACAGTGGAAAAAATTACCTGTAGGTCAGAGCTTTCTTTCCCCATTTGGGTTGCCCTGCAAAGAAGGCAAATTCCCCAACATCCGGATTTCCACACCTCGACTTCTGAATCACCTCCAGCGTATTAGAATCCAGGTTGCCTGTCACCTGTAGCCCAAGGAACTGTTGCATTTCTTGGATTTTTTTGAACACAGAGCTGCTTGTCTGTTTGAAGATTCCTGTCCCATCTGATTTAAAGTTGTAATATTTTTCTAAGTACTTCTGATAAAAGGAGAAAAAATACATACACATTTGAGTTAATCACCATACTTGCTGGCATTCTAGAATTACTTATTTATTGATTACATTGCTACCTCACCAATGAGCCAGGATAAATTATGAGAATACTCAAGGCCAGTAGCCAAAGACTGGACTCATTATTTCAAATCAATGTGGGAACTGCAGCTTTATCAATGTTCTCCTCCTTTCCTAAATTCTTCTCTCTGCAATGCAGTGCTGGCTGTAGCATCATGGCAGCCCAGTTAACGGCAACCGTGCTTCTCTTCCCTTTGCTCCCTGACAATGCAAGAGCTCAACCAGTCGTTATTAGAGGTTTCAACATTGTCACTACCATGAAATCACTTTAATGTAGCCTTCCTCTGCCAGATGCCCTCCGGACTTGCTTTGGACTTCAACCCCTATCAGTCCCAGCTAGCATAGCCAATGGTCAGGCACCCTGAATTGAAATCCAAAATATCTGGAGGCTGTTTTAGTGCATCACTTCCGGAGGGATAGTGAAGTTCGTCTGTTGCAGAAGCAAAGTCAGTAAGGTGTCTTGTTTCAGCAGACTCTGTGTTGCTTTCTTAGTGAGTTCAAATTTACTTCTTTCCCCCAGTCTAGCAAAAGAAATTTGCGAGGAGAAATAGGTGTCTCCCTTGGGGCTCTCCCTGGCCACGTGCACAAAAAGCTGCCGTGGGGGGAGGGGCAGGGCGGGAGTGCTGTGGCAGGGGGTGCAGAAGAAGCTCTCCCCATGAAGTGCTTCTGGCCTAGCATGATCATATTGTTATTGCGGGGGGGGGGGGTGGGCACATTTACTCAGGCTCCGCTCCCTTTCAAAGGAGCTACCACTAGAGGGTTGTGGTGTTATGCAATAGCTGAGTTTATTTACAGGTGGAGCATAGGCAGAAGCACAGCAGGAACCCTCCAACCAAGAGCAAAAGCCACCACTGTGCATCAGTTCTCCAGGGAGTGACACCCCTGCATCCACAGCAGCTGTTAGCATAAGGAACTCTCTCCCCCAAGACTCAGTTCTCTCGGTGTGCCTTTTTTTCAGCCACACTCCTAGATTATACCAATTTCCACTGAGGTGGAATGGATGCCTGCAACATCCTCGATCTGTTTCACCTCTCCAGAACGTTTCACAGCATCCTGCCGTGTCCAAGAGGCAACGTCCTAACAACGAGCTTCCATGGAAGCATGTCCCTTAAGCATCCCGGGTTCTATTTCTTTGTGAAGTCCAAGACTGGCCAAGAATTGCCTCAAGAGTTAAAGCAAATCAACAGTGGTAGCCACATTCACAGAAAGTAACAGCACGTTGAGGGTGGGGGAAGGGGATCCCAAGCTCAACCAGATATCCATGGGCCTGGGGTCAAGAAGGATGCTGAGACTCCAGGTTTTCAGTAAAGACCTGGTAGACTCTGCTAAATTATTTGACCTCACCTCTAGAATCGCACTTGCCTTCCATTGTGAAATTCAAAGTGGCTACATTCAGGTGGATTTTCTGGGCACTGATTTAATCCAGACTTGCTTAGTTTCAGCAAGGCAAACAGCTTCTTGGGCTTTTAGAGTAAACCCTGGGACTGGTTGCAGTCCTCGCTCTGCTGAAGTTGGGGACTAACTTGCTTATTCTCTGAAAAACTCGCAGTGGTGACAACATGAACCATTTTCCTCCGCAATGGCAAACGGGTGCATTATTACAGCCTTGCCAACTTAATGACTTCAAGATGTTTTAGACTCCAACACCCAGCATTTCTGACCATTGGCCATACTTAGGTTGATGGGAATTAAAGTCCAACACAGGACCTTCCGTAGGACTCATGTTGGAGTTGTCTGTGTTATTACAATGAACTAAGTTGTATTAAACAATTTTGTGAACTTCCATAGTTTTTGTTGCCTGGAATACTGCATATCGCCTCCTGAAATCTATTATATTAATGCATGCATAACATTTTAAACAGATTCTTTATCACAAAAATAAAAGAACATAATTTTCTAAGCAGAAAATTCACATATTCCTGTTTCAGAATTTTTTAGTAAATTTCCTTTTCACATCATATCATTTCATCACAATAGTGTCCCGTCATATTGGTAAACCCTTCAAACACTAATTCTTCTTTATTACTTTTTGAAATAGTATGTTGGTAAATATGTGTAAGATTACACCCTTAGCCATATTTTAACATTTAGGTAGATCCAATTTAAGTAAATTGGATTTCAAGGAGTTATTTCTAAATATGACTTAAGTCTGAATCATACCCAAACAGATAATAAAATGCAATCACATAAAAATAATATAGGCAGATGCAGAGAATTCTGTATAGTTATAGATGATAAATTAAGCCTGCAACCTTAACCACTCTGATTTCAAGAGGACCAAAGTATGATTAATTTAGGCTGGGTCCAATCCACTTACTAGGGAGTCTTGTTTTAATCACATTTCATGTATATCCCACCTTCTTCCTCTTGCAAAGAACCAAAGTAACTTATTAGGTTCTCTTCCTCCATTTTATCTTCACAACAACAACCCTTTGAGGTAGATCAGGATGAGAGTTAGTAAATGGCCTGAAGTCACCCAAGGAGCTTCATGACTGTGCAGGACTAGAGCTCGGATCTCTTGAGTCCCAGTCTTAATCACTACTCCACGCTGCCTCTCAGGGAACATCTGTATACTTCACCATTGAAGAAAAATCTCAGTATAATGTCTTCTCCAAAGTAAGTCCTATTGAGATCAATGGAAAGTGTGCATACGATTGCGGGTTCAAATGCATTCTCCAAGAACACACATACCGAACCAATAAGCATCAAAACTTCTCATTAAACTTCATGAAGGCAACTTAATTTATAAGAGAATTGAATGCTTTGCAAGCAAGTGCACAAGCATCGTTACCTGAATAAGCTCCAACTTTTCTTCTTCGTTTCTGATTGGCAATGCATAAGAGGCAGTCACACATAACAGCACAAAACAGATGCTCTTCATTTTGAATCGTGGTTTCCAAAGCCAGGTCCCAGCCTCCGTTTGCTATGTGCCCCTGCTTATATAGCGTTTTTGCACATCATAAAATAAGCTGCAGCTTGACTCAGTGCAGAATGTTACCCAATCAGCATGAGGAGACATGGAAAAAACAGGACTTTTTGGCCTGGAGAACCTGACATACTTTCCTTGCTCTCCACCGTGGCAGATGTTGCAATCTTGCATGTTTCAGGTCTAGGAATGGTTGCCATCTAGGTTCTTCCGTCAATTAGCTATAATGAAACTGACAATATGATTCAGGGTGATTCATCCTTCTCTTTTATTGCCCCCTCCTCTCTTCAACAAATAATGGGATATGTGGTGTGCTCATTTGAACAGCAAGAGCCTGCTTTGGATGTCAACCCAAAGGTCAAAGATATGCTAACAAATATATTTAATTTGATTCATTTCGAATGGCGGCCCAGATCATGCCCAGCATGAATTGACTAGCCATTTTAAATGAACTGAAAGACATAAACACATGAATAAATATGAGGAGAAAAATATTCCTAGCTCAAAATAGCACCATATAATCAAATGCATTTGGTGGGAGGCAAGTTGCATTGGTTTTATGAGTTTGCAGCTACCATGAATGGGCCATTATGCTTTTGCCTCAAGTGGTGCCTGATTTGACAAAATAACATGTTTACTCAGAAGTACAGTGAGTTCCACTATTTTCAGCAGGACTTATTCCCAAGTAGGTATTTATTTATTTATTTATTTAAACAATTTCTATGCCTAGGAGATGCAAACCCTAAGTATGTATGTAGGATAGACACCAGTTTGCTTCCATAGCTTATGCATTTGCAAAGGAAGCAACAAGTACATTATGTCCCTGATCCACTTACTCATCACTTTCTGCTATTTTTTTGCCCATTCACAAATGAAGTGAAAAAAATGGCATTTTCCCAGTGTGCTGGCCAGATGCCACTGAGGGTGATATGTGTGCAAGGCTGGATCAGACCGCAGCATATAAAACAACACTTATCACTTTTACAGTGTGATAAGTGGTTACAGAACGTTTGCCAAGGAACATGCATCTTCACTGATTCAGCAAGCCGCCTTGTGGTCCCCAGATGAGCCTCCCAGAAACCATAGGATAGATTGGATTATTCCTTCTGCAGTCGGAGATAGCTCTTCAACCTCAAAAGGGGGAGCTGCAGTGAACACAGAAAGAACCACTCCAGCAGCCTCTTGAGGTCATAGAATCATCTCAGAGAGAGGCCAAAGGAGGTGTTCCATTCTGGGAGAGTCTGGAGAGAGGTTTTGAAGCATCAAGGAACCTTACACTTCAGAGTCAATTCGTCTAAAGGCCCAAAGCCTGTGGCTTGCTTTTAATGTATATATTTTAAAATGTTATTTTAATTTATTGTTGTAAGCTGCTCCGAGGCTTTGGCAAATGGGGCAGCATAAAAATGTTTTAATAAATAAAAACTAATCCAGGAAATCTAGTTTATTATGCTCGATGTAATTGAGTTGCTACGAATACACCTAAAATATGCACTGAGTTGTGGAAATTCCCAGGTGAATCCCTTACTCATTCTCACAGATCTTTTGTGCCAAAAATATATGCCAACATACCATGATTGCAACAGAGCCAAGAACATGGTTTTGAACAGCATATGCTTAAAAAGCCTAACAGGAAAGGACCTGCCACAGTCGTTGCAGATTTCCTGCTTAGCACTGATCTTTGCTGTGTCTTCTCACCTATCCCCCTTTTAAACATCTTTAAAAGAATAAGCATTAATTAAGTTCCACAGCATTATACATTTGGCTGAACAATAACAAATATGTCTCAAAATGCATAGGTCAAAGTTATGTATATGTTTGAACCAAAGTTTTTTGAAGCTGCTACAGCCAACCATTAAAGTCCTCAAGCAATTGTCTGGGTCAGTGATCAGAATTCAAGGACTTCTCAGCTACAAAGTAACACAGGACAATGTTTTGTCTCCTTGATAGTCTCCCTTAGCAGGAGATGTCAGTGGTGGAACTCCTTGGTGCTGAAATTAAAGGCAGCCACATCATATTTTGGAATCCACTCCCCAACCCCAGGGGAGAGGAATAGAGTTGCTTTAGCATACACATTTGTACAATAATCCCATCCTCTGGCTAGCAGTTTCCAGCTTAGGGCTAGTCAAGCTGCAAAAGTGCAGTTTCTGAAAATAATCACAGAAATGTAAAACTTCTGATAAAACGTCCCTCCAAATTGAAGAGAGGGTGGATAGGCAATGGTTAAAGTATCCTGAATTACAACTGCTAGGAACTTCTGAAGGGAAGTTTCTAGATGTTTCTGCCAGGAAGGCACTGGACCTCTGCAGAGAATGGGAGTGCTGGATGTTTCAGGACTTGCATTCAGAGCCTCAGCTGGTTTTGGTCTGGGTTACCTAAAGGACCTCTAGGATCATGTCTAAATTTAGGGATGGGTAACCATGGAATGTTCAAGCACCTTGAGGTTTTACAAATACTTACTCTGACTTCAGCTTGGCTCATTGTGTGAATCTCAGGACACCAATCTTTTCAATCTGATGCACATTTTGAAAAGCATGCATCTTACCCAAGCAAAAAATGTACATACAGGTTTTGGAAAGAAGTGTGCATTTGGAAAAGTGAATACTTCTGAAAATGAACAGAATTATGAGAATTGTGTTTCTATCTGTGTCCATGTTCAAGGTTGCAAACAGCATGTTCTATTTATTTAATTTCTATGCTGCTCAAAGAAGCTCTCTTGTACAAATGAATTCACAATTTGTAAAAAGAAAAGAAAAGACATTCTTGTACATTGCTACTTGATTTTTTCCCCATTGTTGGCCCACTTTTCCTTCTCTCTGCTTGTATTCTACTACCTTGTTAATCCCTTTTCATTCAGACAAGTTCCTAACTTGCTGTTTAGAAATGATAATGCTGATGTTAGTTTTAGTCAGAGATGAGCAGCCTAATTTCAAAATCCTCTGCACGCAAGCAGCCTGGGCCCCTGGCAACAGCATCTGATCCAAGGGAAGGAAGAAGGGGAGAGAAAAAAGTGGCAGAAATGGGCAACCTGTATTTGGCCTTCTCTGACTCTTTCTCTACCATGATGCAGTCTTCAGAAGAAGCAAGTAGATCTTTCTGGCTAAGCTTCTCATGCTGTGCTTATGATCCATTCTTGGTACTGGATATAGAATCTAGTGCAACTGATAATCCAATTGAAATTAATTATTAAGACCATTTTGAGTTGGGCAGGATTCTGCTCAGGTTCTCTTTTTAAGAGAACCTGAATCGAATACATGCATACATTTTTGTATGTATGTATGTATGTATGTACATGTGTATGTATTTATGTTGGCTTTCTTTTTCATAGACTGTCACAATAGCCACATGGCTCTCTGGATGGTTTACAGCAATTTAAAAAATCCAGGAAACAAAACATTTTTGTTCAGCTGTTATAGGATATATAGCTGAGAGAGGAGACTAAATTCACTTGTTAAAAACATGAGTTAGATGGATACATCTGGAATTAGACATGCAGTGCCGCGATTGGCCAGCTTCTCCAAGGAGAAATCTTGAGGCAAGCACATGGCAAAGCAAACTCTGTGCTTGGTTGTTTATGGACACATAAGAGCATGGAATACATATCAGAACAACCCAAAAGGTAGGAACATGACTCAATAGTTCTAGGCAAACAGATTAAGAATCTGATTTAATTAATGTTAGGATAACCCTTGCGGCTCGGCTCGCCTACTCAACCTGTGTTGTTTCATAACTGCTTCCCTGTATTATGCAACTGCCTTTGGGCTTTGTTTGCATGGCTCCTTTGACTCATGCACTGATCTTGGGATAAAGACTGAAAGAGGAGGCTTCGAGGCACAGAATGCTGACTTCCTCATGCCTCGGTGTTCTCATCCATTGGCGAGAGAATCAAGGGCCACTGGAAGGTTGTGCCCACTGCCTCCCATGAAGAACATCATGCCAAGAGATGGACTAAACTAGCCCCACAGATCAAGCATAGATCAAGCAGAAGTAGGAAGTTGCTTCACCCTTCCCTGCAACACAGTCATTGATAAGAACTGGGACCTGAGTTTTCCTTTTCTTCCTCTTCCTCTTCCTCCCCAATCCTTTTCTCCCTAGGCCATATCTTTAGACTGTAAACTCTGCTTCCCAAGCTTTGTTAAGGGACTATCCTATGACATTCTGACATGTCTGGGGGTCCACTGGACATGGTAGAGTTCCAGCTCTACTCTCAGAAATGCCTCCCAGGTTTGAATCTGGGATTTGACCTCGGAGAGTCTTCCTTTTCTGCACATGTGGCTTGCAAGCTTTGTTTCTGCAGCATGTGCTGCAGAGGAAGATTGCCAGTTGTGCAACCAGAGTTCTGTGAGCATTCACAGACTTCCACTCGGCTTGGTTTGCTTGCTAAGCCAGGGCCACGCACAAGACGAAATCTGATGAACAGAAGCCATTTGGTTCCTGAGGGGGTCATCACAACCCTATTCTAACCTGTATTCACTCAGATTCATTCCCTGTTTTCTGCCAAAGTTGAAATGATGACTTACTCATTTCCTTGCTGTGGGCATTCTAGAATACCAGGGTGCTGGGGTGAAAGGGGCACTCAGGAGTGATTATGTCCAGCACGCCAGTCATTTCTCCATGCCAGAGACTGGCTGGGCTTTGACCGAGTGGCCTGCCAGGCAATAGGAAGATCCCCAGGAGCCATCAGGAAACTGTTTGGATCCATTAGACTCCTGGGGCAGACCATCTGAATCAGCCCTCCAGCCCTGCAGAGTTCTCAGCACTGGTGAGTCTAAACCCCACCAGTCATGATCTGTCCACAACAATGGAACTACCAAGAGTCCCTTCACGAGGATCGCCATCAATCCACCTGGTACAGAAAAGAAGCCCTAGGGTGTGCCCGGTGAGGACAGATCTAAGGCTGTCATGGTGACAAGAAGTCCTGAGCCACTCCTGATGAGGCAGTCTCAGGGTGGATGTTGAAC